GTCATAAGAGAAACAGGAGAAACCGAACTTTATTCAATATAAAATAAGATTTACATTGTTTTGTGAATTTGAAATATTGCAAACAACCTTATTTAATACTCCTAATTTGATAATGTTGATGAAATTTTCGAAATTGAAATTGGATAAAAAAAAGTAGGCTTGACTTGCTTACCAATCCTCTTCAATTTGCCATTGCAAAGATCATGAATTAAGCAAAAATAGCATAAAAAACAATAGAACAATTATTAGAGGCAGTGAATTTTGAAACAGAAAGTAAATTGTGTTTAAAATCTGGTAGATGTAAGACTTTAGATAGATGAATACCATTGTCAGATCAACAGAGCTAACTGCCTAATGTAAGTTTTATACCATTTGATAATCCTACAAGTATTTGGAAGATGGTTCTATGGCAATAAGGATTTTAGGATAGAATAATTTGAGGTCATATGATCAGTTGCCCCTCTGTCTAAATCAGCTATTACTATCAAAGCAAGAGAACAAAGCAGTAAAGGTACCTTCCATATTAGCAGCTGGTGGAGTCTCATTTTCCTTCCTAGCAATTGGAGAATCTGATTGTATTGGTCAGTAGTTTATTGGACCAATCAATGTAGCATAATTTCTAGCATCTGAACTTCACTTTGAGTAAGTACTTCATTAGCAGAGACTTTAGTTTTGGAATTTGACTTGCCTTTTGTGAACTGATAATCGGTTGATAGTCATTTAACTTTAACATGTCTCTCCTTTATGGCCAAGTAATGCAATAATCACATTCAATAATGGCTTTTTGCCTTTATATTTTGCTCTGATTGACCTTTCCCAGTTTTTGAGCATAAAGATAGTAGTTACTTCAAGTTGATGTTCATCAAGACTCTTTGACCTCATCTTGAGAACTACTTAATATAACCTTGGTAGAGGATTCATAAGCAATTTGGCTTCGAACCATGAATATGATTCATTCAGCCCATTAAAAACTGCAATAACTTTGTTGTTGAGATGTTCAAGTATACCTTCACAGAAGCACATCTAGGCTGGAAGCTGACCAGAACCAAGCTCATCCCAAAGCAATTTGAGCTTATTACAGTAGATTGCTACTGTGTTTGTACCTTGTGTATGTTTAATAATTTCATGATGATACCAACACTAGGTCCATTAACTTTGTGAAATTGCTTCTTTAGGTCTTGCCATACTTGAGCAGCACTAATTGAGTAAGCAATCCTATGAATATTTCCTTTGAAACATAATTGAAAATCCAAGCAGAACCAACGAATCGCACCTTTCATTGTGAATTAGACAAGAATGAACTATATTTTGTGCTGTTCCATCAACAAACCCAGCTTATTTTTTGACATAGAGAAATTGTCATTGTCGGCTCCAGATGCCATAATTCTAGTACCTACAAGCTGTCAAAGACCAAAATAGAACTTGGTGTGTCAACGAGTGGACAAAAAGAGGTGAATTAGAATCAACTAAAGGAACGACTAATTATTTAGTTGGATTTGTCATGGTGACTGAACTAAAATTCTAGATTTCGCTAAAAATGAAGAAATTGAAGAATTTGAGCTTCACTAAAAGAAATCAAAGTGTAATTATCAATATCAAGAATGAACCATTTGAAGAGTGAAAGCAATGTGAGAGAAAATGTATTTGGGGAAAAATCAATCTCTTTATTTCATCGAACATAGTTTATATACATCTACAATTACTCTAGTTAACAACTAACTTGAGTTTATAGTTACAGCCACTAACAAAACTAACAAAACTAACCAGCTTAATAAATTACAAATGTACCCCAATCATCTTTATACTTCTAATTATATGAGTTCCAAGGATTCCATATTTGACAATATCACTCCAACAACATTTTTCTTGCAATGCTTAAAGCTTTAAGGCGCGCCTTCATTTACTGGATGCCCATTGAAATTGCCAATTGCATTCTCCTGTTTTAAGAAACCCAAACCTATTTCAGGCATTAACACAAACAGTCTTTATAAGGTATATTTATTATTACTCAAATAACATAAGTCCCACTTATAGCTCTACTAGAAATGAAAGGAGATTAACATGGTCCCAGTTTCCTCTTAATGGTAAAAGACAAGAGAAGATCTAACTGTCTAATCACTAGGTAAAAGAGCAGAAATGTCTAACATAGTCTTAGTTTAAGTCCCCATTGTAATAGGGTGACCACTGGAACTGTACCCGACTGTAGTTTCAGTTCCCGAGGATTAGTTGAGCTACGCATAAGCTGACCTGAAGCCCCCAATCATTAAAAAAAAAAAAAATTCAAACCAGTTGGAAACACAAATTCAAACAATACCCAACAAAGCAACCAACAAGGCAATAATTCAAATACAATAAAACAAATCATAATAAAAAATTATGACCTGAAAATTAATACTTATAGTTAATTAAATTTTAAATAAATATTTGATTGGTAATGTCGCAATATGATAATATATTTTAGAGCAATCATATATTTACAACTGAGTCATACAGCAGACAAAAAAAAAGAGTAATCATTTTACATGAATTTTGTGTAATTTTTATTTAGATGTATGACTTAGTTGAAACAAAACATTATTGATATTTTCATTTACTTTTTAGCACGCATTTAATGAAATTATGACATTAAAATGATTTATTTTGTTTGTTTAAGACTGATAATTAGAGATGGGTTTGCCCGCCCCGCGGAATCCCCGACCCGACCTGAATGGGTGGGGAATCCCCAAAAAAAGTGATAGGGGCCGGGATGGTCCTTAGTAAGATCCTTGCATAGGGGACAGGCTGGGGAAGGGATAGTGCAATCCCCCCCCCCCCCCCCCCCCCCCCCCCGCTTTTTTGAGAATTTTATGTTTTTTTTTTTTTTGTTCCCTTTAGAGATTGTATATAAAGTTAAAGTTTAAATCATGATTTTAAGTAATGATCTAAATTTTTGATTTACTTTTATGATATTTTCTAATGTTTGTATTAATTTTATAGAAAATATTTTAAGAGGAGTCTAATAATTAAATATATGTATTTTACTTTGTGAATTTACAAAATAATAATACATGGGACATGGCCCAAAATAAATTTAAAATGTAGCCTGAAGGATGTTTATATATTTACAATGCACTTGAAGGATGTATTATTACAATGCAGCCTGAATGATGTTTATATTTTATTGCTTTGAAATCCATGAGCATGTTCCAATTTTTGCCAAGATTTGTTATTCACCATATTCAATTATTCATATCAATTTTCAGGAAATTTTCTTTCAGGTATTTATTTTATGAATTTTAGGAGATGAGACTATTTCAGTGGAATTTACAATGCGCAATGCCTCAGCAACATAAAGCATCAGAATGTAGAATCTGAATTCCTCTATTTAATATATATGAAAACGTGTTACTAACTTAGAACAATTATTTAGTTTATGGCAGTATTATGTTTGCTTTTTAATCTTAATTTAAATTTCACAAGAATTGTTAGACTTTATATTTTCTTATCTTAAATTATGCATTTTTAATGAATTAACTACTGAGATTAACAGTCAGTTGTCAAATATAATACCCATCACGTGCTAGTTTTTTTACATTAATATTATTGTTATAGAAAGTTTTGATTTACATGGGACAAAAATCCCTGTTCAGGGGATAAATCCCCGCGTGAAGAAATTCCCCGCGAAGCCCTGTTCATCGGGCCGAGCATGGGGAGGGGGTAACAGGGACAGGGACAGGGCAGGGCATGGGGTCCCCAGCCGCGCCCATCCCTACTGATAATAAGAAAATGCCACATTTAATGTAGATAATGATGATAATAAGAAGAATGCACATTTAATTGTAGATTGAAATTGAGGTGGGAAGATTGAAGAATTAGACACATAAAAGAAAGAATGATGATAATTAAGAACCTTATCTTCACTGTTTTACTAGAATTCTGTAATTAATAATGATTAGTGAAGGGAACTACATAGAAAGACACATTACAAATTTCTTATACAAATTGACCGGTAAAAGATGATTGGCTGATTTTAATTAAAAATAAATATTTACCCATCATCTTTTATCACATTAGTTTGTATGAAAAAGTTTGTATAAAAAGTTTATAAATGTAGTAGTACTCAATTGAATATCTTTATATAACTTAGAATAATATTAGACATACAAATAAATCTTAAAAGATTTTATATACAATGATGTGATAGAAAATAAATTAATAGGAATATGATGAGTTTAACTTTTATATTCACTATTCATGCATTTTTTGCCACATCACTTTGTATAAAAAAAATTTGTAAAATTTTTTTTGTACTCTAATATTACCGATAATTTTAATTGAATACCAATTTATAAAAATTTTCCATATAAAATAACCCAACATTATATGAATGTAACCGAAAGAAAAAAAACAGAAATATAAAAAACCATCATACCAATTTTTCTAAAAGAATCAAATTACATTTACCAAATGATCATCATTTTTCTTTAAAAAAAAAAAATACTTTCATTTATAAATGCATTTGGTAAAATTAATTTATTATTATCTATCTATGCTAGGCTATTCTCTTTAAATTCTAAGTGAGGTTTGATTCGTGAAGTATTTTATATAGGTCAAATCTTTTTTTTTTTTTTTTTTTTTTTTTTTAAATTTAAAATGTCAAACAAATTCTCAATTTTTTTCAGTTTAATTTAATAATGTTTATTTTTAAGTCAACTATTATTTAAAATTTGTGTCAAATAAGAAATAACTAAAACATTTTGTAGCTTTAAAAATTATTTTTTAAATACACATACATAAAATGAAACGTGCATCCAAGTTTGATGATCTCTTTGTCTAACCTGAAAGGCAAGCTCAAAATTCCAAGAAAGTAGTGTTTCTGTAAGAAGAAATAAGAAGAACAGGATTCGATTCGATACTTAAAAAAAACAGTGGATAAGTTTTTCTCCGTATGTCCACGTCAACTCCACGGAACTATGGACTAACAGCGTTTACTTTGAACCATTCGACGGCACCTTTGAAATGTTTCATTTACGCTGTTTCACTTTCACATTCCATCAGCATCAAACCCACCCAAAAAAATAAACTCTTTTTCTCACCAAAAAGTTTCCTCAAAATCTCTCTTTTTTCTTTTTCTTTTTCTTTTTTCTTTTTTGTTAAATTCTTTTAATCATTCATCTGATTAGCAAAGAGTGGTGCCTTGTCGTGTTTGATTATAATGATGTTGGAGAAGTGTAAGAGACCATTAGAGAGGTGTTTCGGAGTAGGAAAAGGTGGTGTTGACGGGCTGTTGTGGCATATGGACTTGAGGCCACATGCTTCTGGAGACTATTCAATTGCAATGGTGCAAGCTAATTCTTTGTTGGAGGATCAGGGACAGGTGTTCACTTCTCCTTCAGCCACATATGTTGGTATCTATGACGGCCATGGTGGTCCTGAGGCGTCCCGCTTCATTACTCATCACCTCTTTCCTTTTCTCCACAGTAAGCTCAGTTTTTCTTTTTTTATTATTATTATTTTTATTTTCTATGGTGATTGAGAAAATGGGCTTTTCTTTTTTTTGTTAACCAGGAAAGGGCATACATTCTTTTTAACTCAGCCCAATCCACAAGGTCTACTTTTGTTTTTTTTGTTTTTTAGTTGAACTTGAACAGATGAATGCATGAATGAATTTTGTGAGGATTATCATGTAGAATTGATGTGAGAAATTATTTGTCTATTAAACTTGAATTAGATTATTGAACTCAGTGATTTGGTTTTTAAACATTACTGATTAATTTCACTTTATCTTTTTATATTTAATTCTGAATTTAAAGTAGAAAAGGGAGAGATAACCTTTTACTGAATGAACTTTGAATTCCAGAGTTTTCAACAGAGGAAGGTGGATTATCAGAAGAAGTGATAAAAAAGGCATTTGATGCAACAGAAGAGGAATTTTTACATTTAGTAAAGAGATCATGGCCTTCTCGGCCACAGATTGCTTCAGTGGGTTCATGTTGCCTTGTTGGTGTGATTGCTAATGATGTGTTATATCTGGCAAATCTTGGTGATTCCAGGGCTGTGTTAGGGAGGAGAGTGTCAGACCATCGAAAAAATACACGGGTATTGGCAGAAAGGTTGTCTATTGATCATAATGTTGGTGTCGAGGAGGTGAGGAAGGAGGTAGAGGCCCTTCATCCTGATGATTCTCACATTGTAGTTTTTACCCGCGGGGTTTGGCGCATAAAGGGAATAATTCAGGTATGAAAAATTTTATCAGCAATTTGGCATTGGATGAGTTATAATTCTAATTGATATGACTACATCTGTTTCTGTGTAAACAAATGAATTTGCAGTTGGTTGTTTGTGCAGAGAATTGTAATTCATGTCTTGCTGCTGTGATTAGGTTTAGAGTTCTTATCAGAAATTTGACTGTTCAGCATACAAATTACCTTTGATTTGCTTGGTATCAAGTCTTTAATGATTCCTATAGTTTCTTTTATAGGACTATGCTTGTCTTATTGGATATAATTTTTCTCTTGCTATCAACCTGTAGTTTAAGACTAAAGGCATGATATTGTAATCCTTATTCTGCTTTAGTCCTATTGCTATATTAAGCGTGTTAGAAGACTAATATACAGGATTCTTATTTCTTAGAAACAAGTTTTGTAGAAGTGTATAAAAAAATCCTTGAAGACCTTAGCTTCTCTAATATTTGCACTTAAAAATATTCGTTTCAGAAATTGGTAAGTATTCTCTCCGTAAATCATTTTCTGACTCTTTGACCCATCCTTCCTGCAAATATATGAAAGTGTATTGCGTTGAAGAATGACAAATGAAATTAATAAGATGATATAAAAGCCTTGTTCTGAGACAGTAGCATCAAATGTTGAGTATACAATCCTTTTGAGCTCCATTTTTGCTTTTATTAGGTCATTCACTGCTATGATATCAGCTTTTTAGCTAAAGTGAAATCACATTTCTATTTCTGGACTATCTTGAGGATTCATCTGCTATCAGTTTTTCTTCGTTCTGTATTATTGTTGTTGTTGTTGTTATAATTATTAGCTCATCATTTGGTCTGGAAATCTCCAATCGTATATAACAGCATTTTATGCACTAGGCTGCATCTAACACTTTTTCCCTTGTTAGGTTTCTAGATCAATTGGAGATGTTTATTTGAAGAAACCTGAGTTTAGCAGTGATACTCTTTTTCAACAATTTGGATCAGCTGTCCCTCTGAAAAGGCCTGTGATGACGGCAGAACCCTCCATATTAATTCGAAAGTTGAAGCCAGAGGACTTGTTCTTGATCTTTGCATCTGATGGTCTTTGGGAGCAATTAAGTGATGAAGCAGCTGTTGAAATTGTTCTAAAGAGCCCAAGAGCTGTAAGGCCTCGGTTAAGAATAAATCGACAAATTTTTTATTTTGTACACATCAGATTTATTATTTGTTACATACACTATATGGTATTGCAGTGCAACAAATGTCGATGCTGTACCTGACAAGAATTAACAGTTCTTTTCCACTCTTTAGGGAATAGCAAAACGATTGGTAAAAGCTGCACAGCAGGTGGTCGCAAGGAAAAGAGAAATGAGATATGAGGACTTAAAAAGAATTGAAAGAGGCACAAGGCGACATTTTCATGATGATATCACTGTTGTTGTGATATATCTAGATCATCCACTGGGTTCTTCGAAAGGTGGATTTAAAGATTATTGCCTTGTTGGGTTCACTAGCGCTCCAGTTGATATTTTCTCTCTTAAAGCAGGTGAAGCAGAGGATGTTCTTCGTGCTGTTAAACGAAGTAGCAGCCACGACTAGTAAGTAATGAGTTATCTTTTGTATAGAAATAATAATTAACACATAAATAGATGTGTCCATCCAGATGATAAGATTAAGGTTTTGGAATAATGATCTCCCTGGAGAGGATGTTGTGTAAATGTATCTTGCTAGTGAGGAAGCTGCTGCCGCTGCTGCTGCCGCCTTACCTCGCATTTTGATTATGTTTATTCTTCCCTTTGCTTTGGGAGATAATAAGATAAAACATCAACTGATATGATATCAAATGCTGCATAACCATGTCTCTTGCTAAGTTCAAGTGTAATTCTTTATAGTGGTTGTGATAAATGGTTATGTGATTTCAGTCTGAGAAGGCATAACTTCACTTATTGCTCTTTTGACAATGTGTTACAAATACTATGTAAAAAGGTTGTTGATGGGTACTTTTCGGAGCTTTAAGGCATTCTCAAAAACTCAGAAAGTTCAGTTTGGTTTTTAAGTGAAAATCTTATATTCAATGTCTCATTTGAGTTGGCTGGCAATTGAAAGTAGATTCTGAGATCAAGTTTATCCTCTGTTATTATCATATATAGCTCACATTTTTTAAAGTAGATTAATAATAAAAAAATTTATTATATGACTTAAAAATTAAAATCAATAAATATTATAATAAATCGAAAAATAGGGATGGGTGTTTGCCCCAGCCCCACAGGGATTTCGGCCTGACCCGACCCGAATGGGGCGGAGAATCCCCAGAAATATTGGGGATAGGGTCGGGGATTAGGCATGGCAATGTTCCCCGGGATTTCGGGGACCTGTCCCGACCCGCCTCATATGGGGCGGGGAAGCCTCAGTTTTTTCAGGGATAGGAGCGGGGGTGGGGGGTGTTTTAATCCCCGTCCTCGGGGATGGGGCGGGGGTGGGTGATGCCTTTCCCCTGCCCCGCCCCGTATATAATATATAAAATTAAAAAAATATATATATATTTACTTTTCACTAATATCCCTATATTTCACCTAATTATACAATTATCCTACCTATATAAACCCATATTTTCCTAATTTCCCTCACCCTAAACAATTGAACAAGAATAAACCCTGACCCATATTTATGTATAATTAATTATGTTTAAACGATTAATTTAAGTGTTTGTCATGTGAACGAGAATTAACTATTGTGTTTGGTAATGTTCAAATTAATTTATATTTATATAAACTTAACGGGGCCGGGACGGGCCTCCAACATTCCCCTTTGGGGCGGGGAAGGGGAATTCATGTCATCCCCGTAACGGGGATGGGGCGGGGATGGGGAATGATTTTGAGGGTGGGGATGGGTACGGTGAATGAGATCCCCGCCCCATTGCCATGCCTATAGGGGATGGTCTTCAAAAAAATTCCCGACCCTCCATGGCCTGTCAACCCTGCCCCTCTGGAGCCCTACCTTCTTTTATTGAGAATTTTTTATTTTTTTTCTTTGCATGATTGTTTAAAAAGTTAGAGTTTAAATCATAGTTTTAAGTAATGTATCTAAATTTATAACATTTTTAATGTTTGTATTAAATTTATAGAAAAAATAATTTAAATGAGGAAGTCTAATAATTAAATATATGTATTAGTATTTTGTGAATTTCACAAAATAATAATACATGGTCCAAAAATAAATTTGATTAGATTATTACAATTTACCAAACCAAGATAAGAATATACATAATAGTTTAACGACTTACAAATTACACATTCAATTATCCTTGTCATTAATTGATTGATTAATTAAATATGATGTTAAACTTAATCAATATTAGAAACTTGTGCTAATGAGATTTGTTCCTTTCACAAATGAACTAATTTTATTAGTTGTAGTTGAGATAGTGTTTTATGAATTAATTCATCAATATACCCAGTAAATTATGTTAAGATTGAATTTAATTATATTAATTTTGTGAAAATTTGATTAATTAACATGACTAACTAAGCCCGAGCCTCCATATAATTAAATAATTAATTAATTTACATATATAAAAATTAGATATAGATATATTTATTTTATGAAAAATTAATTAAATAACAAGGTTGATTAAGCCTAACCAACTAAGTCTTCGTACACTTAAATAAGTAATCAATTTACCTAGTAAATTATGTTAATATTGAATTTAGTTATATTAATTTTATGAAAAATTAATTAATTAACATGGCTAACTAAACCCTAAACCTCTATACAATTGAATAATTAATCAATTTACTTAATAAATTATGTTTATATTAGATATAGATATATTTAATTTTGTTAGGAGGAATTTTCCTACGAAGTCCCATTCATTGAGTTAGACCAAAACGAAGATGGGAGTGATTTCATCCTCACGGGCTAAGGACAAGTGAGTTATCCCCGCCAATGGGACAGATCGAGAACAATCATTGGAGTGAATATCCAGGATGGGGAATGGGGTCTCTGACCCTGACCCGGCCTGTGCCTATCCCTAATAATAAATGTTAATAACTAACGAAAATATCTGAAAATAGTAATTAGTGGCAATCAAGGATTGCCGTATTCACGCAACTAACTGGGTTATGAATTATGGATGGTAGGTGCTTTGTAGGATTATGATGATATGGACGAGTGGACATATCTTGTAGCTGTATCTTTAAATGCCCATCTCTGTCAATCCACCATCGTTCAGCAAAAATATCTCTAAACTCATCTCGTCTTTATTGCCCTTCATACGTGTCAGCTCATGAGTTAATCCTACTGATTTAATACAGTTCCTAAGATTAGCCTTACTTAATCGAACGAGAATGAAAAAACGGTGGATTGAATTTTATGATAATAATTTTTTCAAAATTACATAGTAACAAGGCATTTAATTACGAGATTTTTTAACTTAATTTTTTATATTTAAATCAAGATATAAATTTTATATACGACAAATGTCGATGCTGTACCTGACAAGAATTAACAGTTCTTTTCCACTCTTTAGGGAATAGCAAAACGATGGGTAAAGCTGCACAGCAGGTGTCGCAAGGAAAAGAGAAATGAGATATGAGGACTTAAAAAGAATTGAAAGAGGCACAAGGCGACATTTTCATGATGATATCACTGTTGTTGTGTATATCTAGATCATCCACTGGGTTCTTCGAAAGGTGGATTTAAAGATTATTGCCTTGTTGGGTTCACTAGCGCTCCAGTTGATATTTTCTCTCTTAAAGCAGGTGAAGCAGAGGATGTTCTTCGTGCTGTTAAACGAAGTAGCAGCTACGACTAGTAAGTATGAGTTTACTTTTGTATAGAAATAATAATAACACATAAATAGATGTGTCCATCCAGATGATAAGATTAAGGTTTTGGAATAATGATCTCCCTGGAGAGGATGTGTGTAAATGTACTTGCTAGTGAGGAAGCTGCTGCCGCTGTGCTGCCGCCTTACCTCGCATTTTGATTATGTTTATTCTTCTGGGAGATAATAAGATAAAACATCAACTGATTGATATCAAATGCTGCATAACCATGTCTCTTGCTAAGTTCAAGTGTAATTCTTTATAGTGGTGTGATAAATGGTTATGTGATTTCATCTGAGAAGGCATAACTTCATTATTGCTCTTTGACAATGTGTTACAATACTATGTAAAAACTCCACGAACTTGTGACCTAACAGCGTTTACTTTGAACCATTCGACGGCACCTTTGAAATGTTTCATTTACGCTGTTTCACTTTCACATTCCATCAGCATCAAACCCACCCAAAAAAATAAACTCTTTTTCTCACCAAAAAGTTTCCTCAAAATCTCTCTTTTTTCTTTTTCTTTTTCTTTTTTCTTTTTTGTTAAATTCTTTTAATCATTCATCTGATTAGCAAAGAGTGGTGCCTTGTCGTGTTTGATTATAATGATGTTGGAGAAGTGTAAGAGACCATTAGAGAGGTGTTTCGGAGTAGGAAAAGGTGGTGTTGACGGGCTGTTGTGGCATATGGACTTGAGGCCACATGCTTCTGGAGACTATTCAATTGCAATGGTGCAAGCTAATTCTTTGTTGGAGGATCAGGGACAGGTGTTCACTTCTCCTTCAGCCACATATGTTGGTATCTATGACGGCCATGGTGGTCCTGAGGCGTCCCGCTTCATTACTCATCACCTCTTTCCTTTTCTCCACAGTAAGCTCAGTTTTTCTTTTTTTATTATTATTATTTTTATTTTCTATGGTGATTGAGAAAATGGGCTTTTCTTTTTTTTGTTAACCAGGAAAGGGCATACATTCTTTTTAACTCAGCCCAATCCACAAGGTCTACTTTTGTTTTTTTTGTTTTTTAGTTGAACTTGAACAGATGAATGCATGAATGAATTTTGTGAGGATTATCATGTAGAATTGATGTGAGAAATTATTTGTCTATTAAACTTGAATTAGATTATTGAACTCAGTGATTTGGTTTTTAAACATTACTGATTAATTTCACTTTATCTTTTTATATTTAATTCTGAATTTAAAGTAGAAAAGGGAGAGATAACCTTTTACTGAATGAACTTTGAATTCCAGAGTTTTCAACAGAGGAAGGTGGATTATCAGAAGAAGTGATAAAAAAGGCATTTGATGCAACAGAAGAGGAATTTTTACATTTAGTAAAGAGATCATGGCCTTCTCGGCCACAGATTGCTTCAGTGGGTTCATGTTGCCTTGTTGGTGTGATTGCTAATGATGTGTTATATCTGGCAAATCTTGGTGATTCCAGGGCTGTGTTAGGGAGGAGAGTGTCAGACCATCGAAAAAATACACGGGTATTGGCAGAAAGGTTGTCTATTGATCATAATGTTGGTGTCGAGGAGGTGAGGAAGGAGGTAGAGGCCCTTCATCCTGATGATTCTCACATTGTAGTTTTTACCCGCGGGGTTTGGCGCATAAAGGGAATAATTCAGGTATGAAAAATTTTATCAGCAATTTGGCATTGGATGAGTTATAATTCTAATTGATATGACTACATCTGTTTCTGTGTAAACAAATGAATTTGCAGTTGGTTGTTTGTGCAGAGAATTGTAATTCATGTCTTGCTGCTGTGATTAGGTTTAGAGTTCTTATCAGAAATTTGACTGTTCAGCATACAAATTACCTTTGATTTGCTTGGTATCAAGTCTTTAATGATTCCTATAGTTTCTTTTATAGGACTATGCTTGTCTTATTGGATATAATTTTTCTCTTGCTATCAACCTGTAGTTTAAGACTAAAGGCATGATATTGTAATCCTTATTCTG